GTTTAGGGCGTTCCCCTAGGTCCCCCTTAATAAGCTTCAACTAGCCTTCATCATCCCTAAGGCCTTTCATTAAGCCGGAGCCCTTGCCTTGCAGGGGGTTGTAGTGGGACCCATGACTAAAATGACGAGGTTCCGGTTTCTTCGGGCTTCCCCTCCTCTCGAACCAACCTAGAAGCCCCAAAAGTGCCCTACGAAGACTACTGTCCTTCTAAAGGCGCGGCCACATGAGCATGCAGGTTAGTTCTGAAGAGCCTCGCTTGTATCCCGCTCCTCCACCCCAGAAAGCCTTGCTAAGAGGCCTGTGGTCTTACTGAGTCTGAGTACCGGCAGATTGTATGCCGACTAGACCTGACCTTGCGATCATCTGAGAGGCTAGCAGCCTTTGCGAGCTTGAACAGTTCAAAGGTCTCTCAGCCACCCCCTCTATGATCTGACACTACCACCCCAAATTTGAAGGGTTTAGGGTTTAGGATTCAGGGCTGAGAGTTTGTTCAGGGCTCCGGGGGAGGATGAAGGTTTGAGGGTTCAGGGTTCAGGATCTTAGGCTCATTGAGGGGTTCTTGGAGCCCCTGAAAAACCTAAATCCCCCAAACCTTCAAATCCTGATCCCCTTTTCAAAGTAAGCCTAAACCCCTACTTCTGAACCCCTGAACCCCAAACTCCCAACCCGGAGTTTTCAACAATCCCCTAACCACAAATGGTAGCTTCCAAAAAAGGAATCCCAATACAGAGGCCCAAATACTCTAGCACTTAGTATGGGGACCCCCAAAAAGCATCCCACAAATTTCTAAGCCTCCAAAACCTAAACCCCCAAACCTTCCCTACGCCCTTTAGACCCCGATCCCCCTCACCCCGAAACCCTAAACCCTAAACCCCAAATCCCACCAAACGCAAGCCCAAGGCGATGGCGGAGTTCGGCGACTACGGCGAGTGCTTCGTCGCAGAAGAGTCGCTCGGTGTGTTTGAGGGGGTTTAGGGCTTGGGTTTAGGGTTTAGGGTTGGGCTGGGGGGTCCCACAAATTAGGCTTGTGTTTTTAGGGTTTCCTAGAACAAGGAGTCAAGTGATTCTAGTATTTGGAGATATACCAGGGGGGGCTCCCACTTTCGGAAACTCCTGTCTAGCAAGCTTGAAGGAACTGACCAACAACTGTAGTTGTTATTGGGAACATGGAGCAAAAGCGGATTGAGTGAAGGATTGTGACTTACATACCATAGTTTGCCCAGGAAGTTGGAGGGGATAAGGGGTTTCAGGGCTGTCTATGGGTCCAAGGGCTTTACCGTTTACGGGTTCATAATTTACTTACTTACGTACAGGGCTTGAAGATCTGAGCGTTTGAAAATTCAGTGGTTCGACAGCTGAGGGTTTGAGATGTTCGCGGTAGGGGCCTATCATGTAGTGAAGGGTTTGGGGGGAGGTTCAGGGTTCGGGGGTTCAAGGTTTAGGCTTGGAGATCCTACCCCTAAACCCTCAACCCACCTTAATCTGGATATCTCGCAGTCTCGCAGTGTGCATCATACAAAAGGTATGCCCGTGAAGAGAACTGGTTGGTGGGTCGCAATTAGAAGATCCCAGTTAGCTATAAGGACATACAAGGACCCGAAAGCCTGGTCCTCAATCTGGAGAACTGCTCATTTCTCAAAACATGGATCCGCCATGATCCGGCTGGATATCCCTCAAGGCTGGCAATCTAATTCCCATTGCTGGGATGGAGAAAAATGGATCTGCTTGTTTTGCAGACCTCCACATGTTGTTGCTTATCCATCCAGAACCACTATCAGGATCTTGACATAGTCAGCAGACGTTCAGGCTCGAAACCTAAGTTTGTTTACTTTCCCGGCTTGGCTGTCGTGTTTCAGGTTATAGTTGTCAGTTGAGCACGCCAAAAAGCCTACAGACCTGAAGCCACAAACTCCCCAAAACCCAACACCTTCAATCCGAAGCCCTGCATCCTAAATCCTAAACCCTATAAACCCCAGATCCTAAACCCTAAACCCTACCACACACCCTGAACCCTATACGCTCTAGATGCTAAGCCCTAAACCCTTAACCCAGGCCAGAAGTGAAGATAATCTCCATGGAGGAGGCGCAGACTTCCTCCAACCTAACCCTGAAACAAGGGTTTAGGGTGTTGGGTTTCGGGTTTTGGGTTTAGAGTTTTGGGTTTAGGGTTTAGGGTTTGGGGGCCCTGAACCTTCAACTTAAAACCCCAAACCCTTACAGCAACTGTCTTTAAAGGGGCCTCTTTAAGGGTCTAAACTAGTTTTTTGTAATACTCATTGTGGCAACTGTTACTGCAAGGGGGAATTACCCAACCACACCCTGAATCAGTTGAATAGGTTTTTGGGGTTTAGTGCGACAGAGGGGAGGTTTGGCTGAAAGAGGCTCGAGCTCCAACCCTGTTACTGTTCAGGGCTTAAGCGTTGTATTGAGTTGCCCTGAAAAGAACGGCCGCGCATATCCTGCAAAAAATCGGACTCGAGTTTGGGTGAAGTGAAATTACAGTCGGGCTATTGTGGGGTGGATTTTGCAAACCGACTTTGGATTTGTTAGGCGATTGCAGAGCCCTGGGTTCAGACTTGGCAGACTGAAGTTGGGGTTTCAGTGTCTAGGGTTTAGGGCGAGGGGTTTAGGGTCAGGGGTGTAGGGTCAGGCTTCAGGGTTAAGAGTTTCAAGGTCTAGGAGTGACCTGTGATTCTTTGATTGATCATTGCGAGCTCAACATGAGTGAGTTCCCAGCCATAAATCTTAAACTGGCGGGTTGAGCTTGTAGGTGCCTGATGCCTTGGCAAGATGTTATCAATGGTATGGTAACAACCTTATATGCAAGCATGTGCGAATGCCAAACTGAACTACCGATCATGCTGATAACGTTTCATGTGAGTTCCGGGATCTTGCTGTCTTGCTTCATCCGCAGGGTCAGCCTTAAGTTCAGGCCCTGAACAGAGTCAGAATACAGTCTATACCTGGGATTTTTGTTTGAATATTCATGGTCTCCAAGCCTTCCCCAATTTGAGAAAGTCGCACGGTAAACCCTGATGTTGGGGGAGTGAGATTCCTACTGTCTCCGAAAGATGGCTAGAGATCAATAGGACCCCTTGAAGGTATCCTGATCTCAGCGTGACTTCACGCTTCAGGATGGCGCGGCATGCCGGTTCCTCTCGGCTTCTCTGCATCATGCTCATATTTAACAGCTGGTTGGTGTGGAGCATGTGCTTCTGCTGCGGTCCATGTCCTTTTCTTCGCTCATCAAGGGCAATTGCAATGCCAGCACATCCGCTCTGGGGGGAAAGGTTGGGCTGGCAAGTCTGTTGCCCACAGGAGCAAGGGTGGAGTGGATCGAAGGTGCCCCAGGCTGCGCAGCCACAAAACAGCAAGGGGGGTCGCGCACGCAACAACCAAAAGGACATCAGGTTGTACAGGGAGAACCAGGGCTCGACCATCAGTGTCAATGCACAGCAATCGCTTCAGGATGATAGCTTGACTCGTGAAGAGAAGAAGCTTTTATCTCTCATATCAGAAGGTGGTCGCAGAGGAAGATGGGCAGAAGTTGCTGCTGCCTGGGCTTCCTACGCTGGCCAGGCCCTGCCTCTGTACGGCGCAGCTATGCAGGCCGCCATCCGCTGCGGCACGTACGACGAGGCCGCCACCATGTACAACAGTCTGGCAAGCATGCCTTCCATACAGCCAAACGTGGTTTGCTTGCATCTTGGGATCAAGATCTACGGGAAGCTTCAGAATCGTACAATGGTTCAATACATTTGGACCCAAGCAGAGGACAGGGGGCTTGTGAACAAGATCATAGCCGGCGCAAGGATAAACGCCGCAGCTGAGATGGGTGACATTGTGGACGCCGCATCCATATTGGATTATATGGTAGGTGCAAACTTGTCTATGGAGTTACCTGTCTGGACCTCCGCCATAAATGCCTGCAAAAACTCCAACCCACCTAGCCCAGAAGTCGCGATGTACTTCTTTCAAAACATGCTGCAGAGCGGAATCTCCCCAAACATTGTAACTTTCTCGAGCTTAGTCGGTTCACACAAGAAGGCACCACTGAAGGAGGTTGTGGAATTGCGGGCTAGCATGGCGGATTTCAACGTAAAGCCTGACGGTGCGTTTGCTGAGACCTACCTCGGGGCAGTTTGCCACGGTCGCCTCAAAGATGTGTGGAAAGTTGAAGACGTGGCAGAGAGGCTGGAGGGAATTGAAAACGAAAGACTTCAGGAGGTGCGTGTGGCCTTGGCTGGCTTCAAGGCAGCAAACATCAGGCTATCGAAGCTGTGTAGATTTCTCGACCAGCACCTGCAGGGAAGCTCAAACTGCGTGCGAAAAGATGGAAGGTTCCTCTGTCGCTCATCTATCCTTCTTCATCCTTCTGAGGTTTAGGGTTTAGGGTTTATAGGTCTCAGGGATTGAGAGTCCGGTGATCTTCGCATGCCAGTGGGCTATAGTAGTTGAAGCAAAGCCATACCAAGATACCTTTCAGGAGGCTCAACTGGCTCGTCGACGTCGTTTAGGGTTTAGGGGTTAGGGTTATACCCGAAAGTATTGCTTATGAACCATCAGTACTTCTAAGATAGTAATTATAGTAACATGTACCCCCAACGTCCACAAGTCCTAATTTTTTCACTCATAAAGGCGCCTACAAGGGCCTCAGCTGGACCTCCAAGAGTTCAAGCCAAGCGCCCCCAGGTGCTGAAATCAAAATTTTCAAGCCTGAGACTATGGCCGTAGCTCCAAATCCCACACCCCGTAAGAATAGTATTACTGTTGGTATCAGCACTAGTAGCAATCACCCTTAGCCACCAAGTCTCAACCCCTTCACTCTAAATCCTAAACCCCTATACCCTAAACCCCGGACACCCGCAGTCCCCCTTAAGTAGATCGAATATGGGGTATATGGGGATCTTGTGCTAATATACCCACAGGCATATTTTATCCACTCCAGGGGTGCTATAAACCCTGGACCTTAAGCCCTTTGAACCCCTTGACCCTGGAGGTGTCGAAGCATAGCACCCCTGAAGACTGCTGGGTGGTGCTCTACGGACGCTCCACATTCTCGGGGTTCAGGGTTTAGGATTTAGGGTTTGAAGTTTGGGTTCAAGGTTTCGGGGTTCAGGGTTTAGGATTTGGGGTTTAGGGGGGCTTAGAGTGCATAGGATTTAGGGTTTTGGGCTTAGGATTTAAAAGCGAGACTTTGGGATTCAGGCTTCAGGGTTTAGGGGCCTTACAGAGGGTTCGTTTGGTAGCAAACACTTGCATCCAGCCTTTATGGTTTCCCAAAATTGCGTGCACCTGTTTTTGATGGGTTCCGTTACTACACCCCACCTAAACTACCCCTCCCCCCCCAAGGTTACCCCTTTATTACCTTTGATTAAGCTGAATAAGCCCTAAACCCTAAACCCTAAACCCTAAACCCCTAAACCCTAAACCCTAACCCTAAACCCTAAACCCTAAACCCATTGTCCCTAAACAACCTTAATTAGCCCGGGAACCTCGGAGGGGTAATATAGAGGGGGGTAAGAGGGGAACCCATGATGTTTGGGGGTCCCCGTCATGAGCATTGTAGTACTTGGCGGTCCATATTGGGTTCCCCTGTTTATGGAAACGGCCCGATGTAGCTTGAAGGGTGCTTCGGCAGTGTTTTACGCTATTTTTTAATGTTTGGGTAAGTTTTTACAATCAGGTTCCTTTTTCTTAGTATAAGAAACCTTCCCTAGACCCTGAGAAGAGACCCAGAAATCCGCCCATCCAACCCAAAACCTTAAGCCCCAGACCCCAAATTCATACGCCCCAAACCCCAAACATTTAACCCGATTAAAAAATCACCAAACCCTAAACCCCAAACCCTAAACTTTCATATTTGCCTTTGCAATCATTCTGCTTATGATTTGCCTCACCCCAAATGCAGGTCAGTATCAAAAATGGTCCCCAAATAGCTTGATCTCAGGCTTTAACCGTAGGTTTAAACGCCTAGGACGGGTCTACGACCTGACGAAGTTCGCTCTGGGTCACGTCGCCTAGTTCGCACGTATGCTCTCCCACCTTGAGGGATAAAGGTCTACGTTCCTGGACGGTTTAAGGTTGAAGGTCTAAGATTCACGGGCGGTTTAGGGATTTAGGGTTTAGGGCCTTAGGGTTGGGGGCTTGTCGTTTTGTTGTTGAAGGGTTTCTGGGGAGAGGGTTTGGGCGCTTGCGGGGCTGAAAGTCCCGTCTTCTAATCTCCAAAGCTCAAGTTCCCGGAGCTCCAAATTGAAATCTCAGAAGGCCGCGCGGTTTAGGATTTAGGGTTGAGGTTTCAAACTTCAGAAAACACGCCAAGATTTGCCCTGCTCTTGAGAACGCCCCCAAACCTCCAGCCCCCATTTTAGCCATAAATTCTAGACCATAAATCCCTGAAACCTTAGCCCTTTCGTAGTATAAACCCCCTTCATCAGAAGCCCATGCCCTGCGGTCCGAAGCCCGGTACCCTCTACCTTCACCTGAACCTCTAAGCCCTGAAATCTAACCCCCAAACACCTAAACCCTGATCCCTAAACCCTAAACCCTGATCCCCAAACCCTGATCCCTAAATCCTAAACCCTGATCCCCAAACCCTGATCCCTAAATCCTAAACCCCAAACCCCTAAACCCCCAAACCCCTGAACCCCTAAACCCTAAATCCCAAAGACCCACGCATTCCTCTGCCTCTTCAGCCCTGGGCCCATAAATCTTCTTGAGGTAGGCGGAAGCAAGCTGATCACAGACCTGGCCGGCAAGGACTTGCTGAAAGGCTTCAGGGGTCAGGGCTTAGGGTTAGGGTTTAGGGTTTGGGGCTTAGGATTTAGGGTTTAAGGCTTAGGATTGAGGATTTAGGGTTCAGGATCTAGAGTTTAGGATACAGGTTTGAGGGCTTAGGGTTTTCTTTGTGGCTTCAAGTTTGAGGTCTTCACGTTCAGGGACATGAGCTTTGAGGGGAAATGCCTATGTCCAGTTGGACAGAAGTCGTTGGTGGTTTGTTGGGGGCTGCGCGGGTGAAACTGCATTAAATTATGCAATATTCGAACTGCTACTTTAGGGGAGGCGCAAACCTAAAACTGCACCCGACAGCTTAAACCCTCAGCCCTAAAGCCCTCCCTAAATGGTAGTTTCCATTTGCTTTTTCAATATCCCTATATCAATCCAGTATTTAATATACGCAAAGCCATACTCCCTATATAACCCAAAAGATACTATAGTAGCTTCCATTTTGTTTTCCATTATCCCAAAAACCCCAATACATACCTTATAATCACTACATAACCCAGTATAGTATTTTTCATGAAAGCCTCCTATCTACCGTGTGCCCTGAAGACTACAAGGCCCCTTCAGTAGTGATCAGGACGGTACAAGCGTATTCGAGGCTTCGCACGGCGAAAACGTGACTCGCCGGGTCTTGCAAGAGTCTGACAGGTGCTGACTTAAGCTGGAGTCTTTGTGGGGGTGTTGGGGTTTCCCAAAATTAGGGGTACTTTTTTGGGGATCCCAATAATAAGGATTGTAGTATTTTGGGGTCTAGATTGGGGTCCCCTTGTTTTGGGAAGCTACTTCGTGTAGCAGTTAGGGTGTAGCGGATCCTCGTCAGGGATCATCTTTACTTTTTTGTGCAAGGGTTTCCTTGCATAGATACAAGAACGATCCCTTTCCTTGGGGAAGCAGGACCAAGAACCTGACCATGGATCGGTCTAGGGTTGCGGGACGAATTATTTCAGTTAGCTGCCCTAGGAGACTCCACATAAGGAGGGCCCAATTATAACCCTACTTGTAAATTCTGAGCCCCCTAAGTCCCCTAATAGGGTTATATTTGAGTAATTTATAGATACCAGCTATAATTGGGTTCTATTCACGCTGAACCTCCAAGTCATATTTAGATAAATGCCTCTTGGATGAAAATACGGCCGAAGCCCTCAGCCCAAAACCCCTGTTCTATACCCTACATTACATCCCCGATCTGCCCTGTATGCGCTTACAGTAGGGGTTTAAGTTGATAATGTAAGTGTATCTCGGTAGTACAGTAGCCCAACTTTGAACTTTTTGGGTATTTTCAACCATTTCTACCAGGAAAGTTTGATTTTTGGGGGGCCTGGGTACTGGACAGCGAAGATATAGAGCCCTTATATGACCCCTATTACAGACTGTTAATGGGTGGGGCAGGACCCAAGGTTTAAGGCTTAAGGGACGTGCCTTTTGGATGATGAGGTGCTGAACAGCATCCGAAACGAGTGCTGCCTCGGAGAGGCAACTGGCAACAGCCAAATGAAGGTATAGGAAGTATATATGGGTGGTTGTCAACATTATGGTCCCTCTTTGGGTACCCTAAATGTTAGGTGCCGTATTATAATAAGGATCCAAAACGGGACTATCATTTTGACAACCGCCCATATATCGAAGAGGGTTAGGGTTCAAGATGTCGCTTCTGGTGTTGAGAATCAGATGGAAGAGAAGAAATATGGAAACTAGGTTCATAGTGGTTTATGAAGTTTGGGGTTTCTAAAATTCGGAGTCTCGTTTTGGGGCTTCAAGTAGTAGCGTTTGCAAGATGATGGAGCTTTCCAAAAGGCTGTTTCTTGGCGTTTTGCGGTCCAAGATGCGTTCTCTTGCCTGGCCCTTGGTCCTCTGATATTTTGGAGCTTTCTTGTGGAATGTTCCCCGCCGCTAACTCATCCTTCAATACTAGAAGCCATGTCACGGGCCCAAACAAAACATCTCAACCTATCCTCAGTGTATAGTCCCCTGCAAGTAGATAGAATATGGGGTATAATATGGGATCTTGTTATAACATACCCAAAGCCATATTCTATCTACTTAAGGGGGACTATAACCCTAAACCCTAAATCCTAAACCTTATATTCTATCTACTTAAAGGGGCTATATCCCTCAAGCCTTAGCCCTCAAATTTTCTCCTTGGACGACGCGGCCTGAGATTTTCGCATCTCCCCAAGCAAGCATGGAACCAAGAAGGGCTCCATCAGCGCTGCGGTTGCTCTGTAGGTTCTATAGTCCCCCTTAAGTAGATAGAATATATGGTTTAGGGTTATAGTCCCCCTTAAGTCCCGTGTTATTCTTGGGGAGGGTACGTATGGACCCTGCGCCCTGAACCCTGAACCGGTTCAGCTTGGCAGGTAGATGAGAGTACCGTCCTCGAGGAGCATCGGGTGACGGCATCGCTCCGCGCGCGCGCATAGCGGGCGCTCGCAGCTGCGAGTTGATAATGTTCCCGTTTGCCAAGCGGAGCAAACTTCTGTGCCAAAGCAAGCTGCAGTATGGTGATTTTGGCTTAACCTCATCAGTTATGACCCTGCAGTAGTCATACACACCACACAGGGCCTGTTGTTTTTTGGGAGGCTGCGCGCACCAGAATCTCCTTACTTGACTTGAGCTCTGACTGAAGTCTCTACGGATGAGATCAGGATTTTGATGGTAACCCATACCTGTACTTTCCTTAGGAATCATTTTTACATCTTATTATAGTATAACCCTAAGCAAATATTGAAAATAGTGTTTTTATGATAGGTCTAAGGAGACTACAGATACCAGGCTGCATAGGAGCGGATGCTGCCTTTTGATTCTGTGGAGTGGCAAACAATGAAGGGTGAACAGACGTGCGAAGAACAAAAACGTAACTCAACATTAAGAAGAGTTTGTTTCTGCACAGCTTTGGGTTCTTTGCTCGATTGTTTCCCAAGCATCTTCTTCTTTCCCCAGCATGCTTCAATGTGTACCATGGCCTGCCACGCAGGACTTGTGCACTCACTCTACAAGGCCCACGCTACAGCGTTTTGTGCCAAGAACTCTTCGAAACGCCTACGTTTACACCCTTAACCCACAAGGCAACTTATCAAAATCATCCATCCCTATACAATTCTGAAGGAGGACCCTTGTAGTCTGGTTTTAGTCCCTTTATATCTCAGGGCCTTAGGGCCCTTTAGGATTTTAGGGTTTTAGGGTTTAGGGTTCAGGGGAGGGTTTTTGAGAACTGCCCAAAGAGCTCAAGCGCATCCAAAGTTTTCAAACATCGGGATGGGCATTGCATCTTCCCTGGAAGGTGTGAGGCAAGGCAGCGCTAGAGTGATCTCTTGAGTTTCTCAAAACTATCCCCAAAACCCTAAACGCCTAACCCTGAACCCTAAACCCCGGAGCCCTGAATCCTAAACAGTCCCCCTATGTGCCCAGGGTCCCTTTTGGCCCCAGATCTGAAGAAGCACCCTAAGGCTAGTACATCATAGGTACCATAATCTCTAAACTACTTGAAGGGGGTTGTGTAGGGGATTATGTAAGGAAGTATTATAGGCGTTATTGAGGGGGATACTGGGAGTCTGGACTGTATACCATGGGGCTTTCATCGTGTATATCATATGGCTTTAATCGTGTGAGGCAAGCCCTCAGCTGAGGGTGAAAAAGGCGTAGATTTGACTGAGCGAGTAAACCCTAAACCAAATCCGGTCCTGGTATAATCCCTTAAGCAGAAATCTTTCTTCAACATGCGGCACAGTTCACGAATTAGGGTTCAGGGTTTAGGGTCCACACATCTAACCAGGGGCGTAGTTTTCCAAGCACTCACAGCGCTGCGGCACCCACCCATTGTCCGAGTTGAAGCTGCGTTCGCTTGATCCCTGATTTCCGCACGCAGTCTAGGGTTTAGGGTTTTTGGGTATAACCCAAGGGATTCTGAAGCATAGCATATTGGTTATAGGTGTAAGGGGATTACTGCATGAACCTCCAATCCAGTTCAGATCCCTCAAAGTCCCTAAGACCTTAGGGTCCCAATCTCCCAATCTGGAGCCCATTTATTGGTGGGAGCTGTATCTAGTGTACAGAAGCCTGAAATTTACCGAGATCATTCTCCTTGAGTCTTCGCACAGCTATAAAGAAACCCTTAACCTTACACTCCCCCAAACTAACATGGAAACCCATATAGTCCCCTTTTAGAAGGACTGTAGTCTTTACAGGGCCCTTTTTGGGTTTCCATGTTAGTTTCCAGGAGTGTAAATCCTCAACCCTAAGCCCTAAAACCTAGTGTGCCACTAGGTGAAAAGGTCCCACCAAAAAAAAAACTACTGTGCCCCCAAACCTGTTTAAGTAGGGCCCCCTGATCCCTCTCCAGATGATGGGATCGTTTTCTTGGGACCTTGGACAGAGGCTCTCATGCCTTCTACCCCAAATTACAAATCCTGTAGGATGTCGGACCATTATAGAGGCTTGCATGGGAATTACTAATTACTATATTGATCGTTTCCTCCGTTCTCGTGTACTAACCACCTACCAGCAGGCTAACTTTGAGTGATCTCTTGATCAGGGGTCAGCGCTCCAGCCCCACAGCTACAGCCAGACCCATGTCCAGCCAGTCTCTTGTCCCAGCTGAGCTCGGGAAATCTTGCATCCGAGAAATGTTCCGGGCATAAGGCTTAGGGTTTAGGGGTGGAGGGTTTAGGGTTTAGGGTGGAAAGGCACTCCAGTTGTGATCAGGTTGCGACTTTGAATATTTGTTCGCGAAAAACACAAGGAATCTCTTTGATATGGTAGTGTCTCCAATACGGGCGGGAATCCAAATAGACGCCCTATAGGGTCCCTGTACTATAATACTCTTCTGTGGACCCCTAATTTTTTAACCACAAATTTCATAAATCACTGTATGATCACGGTCGCCACTTCATGTTCCGTTTTCTTGTCTCTATTAATGGGGTAGGGTGCCTATTGAGTCAGTGTGTATAGGGACTAGGGTAAGGGCTTAGGGTTTAGGGTCAGGGATGAGGGCTTCCCAGACCCCCTAAAGGATCAAAAAATAGAACACCCAAAACATGGTTGCATTACTAGGGAACCTATTGGACGATTAAGGGGGTTCCATTTTTTAGGATGCTTTAGGGGGCCTGGGTTAGGGTAGCATTAGTGGTGCTGACAAGGAAAGCTCTCGGTATGAGTTCCAGGCTCTGACGTCTGCCACATGGTTGTTTAGGGTTCAGGGTTTTAGGGTTCAGGGTTTTAGGGTTCAGAGGGTTTTAAGGCTTAGGGTTCAGGGTTTAGGGAAGGCCTGTTTGTCTGGAAAACACTGCATTCCCACTGTCCTGTGGTTGATTATTCTTGAGAGCCTTTGAATCGTAGGGCTTGAGGGCTAGGGTTCAGTGTGTCCAGGGATGTTTTAGAAGCTTCGGGCTCGAAATTTATGTATTCTAATTACTATAATAGAATAAGGTTGCATAGGGAGTATGTTAGGGATATATAAGGAGTCTATAGTAGCAATAATGGAGAAGAACATAGAAACTACAATTTAGGGTTTAGGGTAACATGTGGGCTTTTTTGGTGGTCTTTATGCCATGAATCATTTTGAGTATGTTATTGATGTCCTCAGCTTTTCAGTCAAGCCTGCTTCGCAACGATCTTGGCAAATAAAAAGTAAAGAAGCGTGACAGCTCATCCCTACAAAAAGTCCTAGAAAGTAGGTGAAATAATAGTATACTGGGGTTATATACGGACAATGGAAAAGAAAATGGAAACTATTACAATATTTTTTGTAGATATATATATATATATTTATATATGCTTGACCGTGAAAGCGCAAAATCCTATCAACCCTCTTATACTCATCTCGCACTACCAACAGTGCACTGTACCCTCTGGACACACTTGCCCAGAATCCCTGCCAGAAGCCCTGGCCTCCAGGGCAAACAAAAAGACCTCTTAAGCCGCTTTGCCCAATGTCCTGAAGAGCTGTAGATCTACAGACTTGCCCTAAGCCCTGAAGCCCATGGTATACACTTTCAGAAGCCCCTGAAAGCTGCTGTATGTATCCCAACAGCTTGTGTCCCACAAGATCCAGAGCCTGACATCCTTCTACCCGGACGCGGCCTACACACCCAAGCCTCCAAACTCAGAGCCCTCAACCTCGAACCCTAAACCCTCATCCCTAAAACCGAAACCCCTAATCCCTTAACCCTAATCCCTAAGCCATGGGATGGTGACCCGCTGGAGCAACCCTTAGGCCGGCAATGGGGTTTGGGGCTTAGGGTTTAGGGTGTTGGGATTTAGGGTGGGGGTTGAGGTTTAGGATTTAGGCTTAGGGTTGAGGGTTTAGGTTTTGAGGTTTAGGGTTTGGGGTTTAGGGTTTAGGGTTTCGGACAGTCTTCCCTTCACTTGGGGATATGGGGACTTTTGAGGGGTAGCCAATGCAGGTAGCATGTTGGGGATGTGGGGCTTTTCAGTGGTTACCAGGGGCTACAAGGGAGTGCAGGCAACCCAAACCCTTAAGGCTAAACCCTAAACTCCTCAGCAAGCAAGTGGGAATTTCTCAATTCTTTATTCTTGATGTTTTTGACTTTTTTGCGGGCTGATAGAGGGACTGCGGCTTTTCTGCAAAGCCCCTTGAAGCTTATCTAAGCCGTTCCACGCCCCAAAACCCTGTGCACTGAACGGCTGAACCCTGAACCCCGCACATACGCCCCAAACCCTGAACCCTAAACAGTGCTGAGACCTTCACCCCTCGGTGGTTCTGGCACACACGGACAAGCGTGCATCCCTGCTTCCGCTCCAGCACTAGCTTCCAAGCGTCTTATTCTAGCCCTGCATAGCCATGACATCCAGGCCTCAAACCGCAACCCTAAGCCCAAAACTCTGAACTTGAAAGCCCGGCTGCTAAACTCAAAACCTCAAAGTCTAGACTCTAAGGTTCAATCAATAAAGCGTCACGAGCCTAAAGCCACAACTCCCAACCCAAGCGCAGAAGCCTCCAAGCCTCCGGAAGCCTGAAACCAAATTAAACGTTTCACGTTTAAGGGTTAGGGTCTTCTTTAATGATAGGGCCTAAAAGCCGTATTACAATTACTGGCGCCAAAATCCCAAGTACCAGTACCTATTGGGTACATGGACCCTTGGGGTTACAGAGCCTGGGCTCCGCAGATACACGACCCCAAAGCCTCGCAATGCAGGCCGCAGAGGCCCTAGAGCTCCGCACCGCAATGGCCCGCACGGATCTCGTCTTCTTACTCTGCGTGTTAGCATGTAGGCCTTTGGGGTTTGGGGGGTTGGATGGCTTTGGGCTTAGGATTCACGATAAAGACTGTTTGATGATTTTGGTGGTGCTGCTCAAGACTCAGGTTTGCATCAGTAGTAGAGCTACAGGCGTGCTGTCAGGTCTGAGTCTGGGGTCTGGTGCTGGTGAGGGGCCTGGGTTCGAAACCGAGGTTTAGCGCGT